CGCCCCGCCCCGCCCCGCCCCGCCCCGCCCGTTTGGCGATGCGCGGCATTGTGTGGCGCGGCGCGGCGTGGCGCCCCGAGTGGTGACTGCTGTCGTCACACCCCAATGCCTGCCGACGCTGGCGCTGGCGCTGCTACTGCTCCTTGCCACAGACTCGCAAACTCCTGCCAGAGCCCCGGCTCGGCCCGGCCCCGACCGGCGCCTGGAGGCGATCAGCGTCGTCGCCGTGAATACGTGTGCATCAGTGCAGCAGCGAGCAGCAGGCTGCTGTAACAGTCGAGCAGACGACAAGCGGAGGAGACAACAATAACAGCAATCAGACGAGGAGGGGAGGAGGAGCTTCTGGGGGTTCTGCGGGAATCGGTCTCCATGAAAATTGCGCGGAACAAGTATAGGATTCGGCCGGGGGATCCGAAGGGCGAAATGCTGCTGGCGGGCAAGGAGAGGAGGGGGAGGAGGAGGGGGAGGGGAAGAAGGAGGGGGAGGAGGAGGGGCTGGAGGACGAGAAGAGGTTAAGAGGGTGCGATTGTTGCAGAGGCGATTGACTCCGATAGAGTGGCCCGCTTGGTAGTATCGGCGGGCGTGGTGGAGGGCTGGAGAAAGGGGAAAGGGGGGAGGGGGAAGTGAAGGGGCGACGAATTGGTATCTCGCGTGCGGACTGTAGAGGCGTTTTCCAAAGTGATGGTTCAGCCTTTAGTTCCACTATTGTGTGATAAATTCGACGACTTGCTAGGGATCGCCCTACTGCGCCGCCCTCTAGAGGGTGTGGTGGTGGGGCGGGGTGTAGTACCCCGGCGCACGCAGTGGGGCAGGTCATCGCATCGCCCCGCCCCGCCCCGCCCCGCCCCTCCTCGCCGCGCTTATTGTTTTTCGTTTGGCGCGATGCCTCTGATTTTGTGTTGCTTGTTTGTTGCACGCCACCAGGAAATTGAATGGCTGGATGATACGCCCCTCCTGTCTCTCTCTGTTTATCCGTCTCGCTGTCTCACTGTCTCTCGCTCTCTCTCGCTGCCGCAGTGGTTGCTCTATCGACCCGACCGGGTTGCATGCATGGCGGCGGCAGCGGCGTCAGAGACCGGATCCTCGAGGTGTGACGGGGAGGAGAAACTTTCTCCCCGAACACGAACGTCTTGACGCCGGCGCGTCACACCCCTCCCTACCCTCGCCCCGCCCCGCCCGCCCCACACCGCACCGCCGTACTGCGCGCGCGAGCAGCCAGTTTACAACGTCTAATATCCGGCCCCACTCATATTCGCGCGCGAAAATTCCCACCCCTCCGTCCCGCTCCGCCCTGCCGTCTGGGCGGGCGTCGGTAACGGGGGAAGAAGGGGGGTGGAGAAAGTCCTGACACCTCCCTTCCGCCTCCCCTCCCCGCCTCAAGCCCCCCTCGCGCTACCCGCGGATCCCACCGGATTAGGAGGGAAGAAAAGAGGAAGAGCGGCTCAGACGTCTCGCGCGCGAATTAAGACCGCCTTTTTACCGAGTTTTGCGACAGGCTGTCTCGTTCCTCTCCACCTCTCTCCCTCTCTGGTGTCGTCCCCACCTCCCCCTATTTCTCTCTCTCTCCTCTCCCTTTCTGTCCGCGTAGGTAGTGGCCAGGGATTTATGTAAATCTTCGCCATCTGCGTTTGAATACTGATGACGTCGGCAAAGGGAATACGACACGCACCTGGGGGCGGACGCCTCCCGCGCCTTTCTCCCCCGCCTGCCCCTTGGAACGCCCGGTGGTGCTCCTTAGAACGCCGCCCCGCCCCGCCCCTGGTCCTTTGTGCGCGCGATTAGCCGATTTGTGGCGAATCCCTGAGAACGCACTCTCTCGAGTCTTCTGCTCAGGTGGAAGTGGGGTGCGTTAGCGTGGATCGCTGGACAATGTCGGAAAGCGAGTGGTGCGGTAATTTTTTTCCAGCCCCTGGGCCGGGCTCACCGGGAGGGGAGGTTGCTGTACGCTGGGTGGAGCATCAGTCGTGCTGGTGGTGGAAATGTTCTTGCAAGGACATATTTCGCTGTCGAAACTAAAATGAGCTAGTTCCAACAACTAACATTTTAATTAGGAGTGGCCCATTGAACATGTCTAATTAAAAGAACTACAACTAGTTAAAAGAACCACAAATTTTTGGCACTGCTAACTAGAGCCACATTATCTCGAACAACATTACTAAACCCATAAAATTAATCAACTGACTTCTTTAGTGTTCCCAAGAATCTCGATTTTTATTCAGAGTGCTATTTAAATTAGGTAGGCCATAAGTGCCAGTTGTTGTCGGTTGAGTGGATCAAGAGAGGAAACTATACTTGTGATGGGAATCCTGCGTTCCCGCGAAATGCTGGGGGTGCTGCACCGAATTTTGACTTGGTGCCTGGAGCGCCGTGAATGAACCTGATTAGGCGAGGAGCGGCAGCTCGCGCGGCCCTCGTGGAGCTCCTCCGCGGCCCCCTTCTGCTCGCCCCCCCCCTCCCCTCGACCACCAAACCCCCTCCGCGCCGTGCGCCTCCGGCACAACCTGCATCTACCCGTGCGCTACGAGCCCCTCGTTTTGCCATGCAATTGCAGTAGGGAAACTCTGCGCGCGCGGCGAAGAAAGGGCCCGTCGGTGCAGCCCCGCCCCGCCCCGCCCCGCCCCGCTCCGCTCCGCTCTTCTCGTTAAACTATAATGTGCCAACTTGCCGTTACCTTCAACGGGTATAACGAGTGGAGCGGTTTTTTGCCCCCTTTTGTAACGATTATGGTCTCTGGCTGGTCACAGCTTGTGCAGGTTTCCCCTCCTACCGCTCCCCCCTCCCCGCGCGCGGGCAATGAGTACTGCAATAGCTGGTTGCAGCCGCCCCCCGCTCCGCCCCTGCTCCA